TGATATCACAGAGGAAGGCCAAACTGTGGACCCCAGTGCATGACCTCACTTCCTTGGTGACAGGTCCAAACAGAACTCTGAAGGCTCAGGTCACCAGGCACCTTGATCTGGTGACAGTTGGTCTTTACAGACAGTTGGCTCAAGATAGTGAACTGGGAGCAGGTTATGCTGCTTTCCCAGGACATGAGACCCCAGCCTCAGGATTCCGCATAGGTAGACCATGTGGGAATGGCTGAAAAAATGGTTCACTCATCCCAGAGCCTTCAGGATGATTGTGGGCAAATGCCAAATGACAAGGGCATTAAAGGACAGGGCTCACTGTCTCCAGCCTTCTGGCACCCAGAGGCAGGAGAGAGACCAGGACAGGTGTCACAAGACTCAGCTACAAGCCACTCAGACTCACTGAGTCCAGCAGAGTAACATTAAGGCCTGACTACCACTGTGAATCCCCCTACACAATTCCTGCCCTAAGTCAAGTGTGCCTGGGTCTGACAAGCCCTGAGGGCAGATCCTAGTGGGCTGGTGCAGGTCCTGGGAGTATACAAGCCTGGGCCACTGTCAGGTTCCCACCCAAGACTGGGCTGGCAGAGCAGAAGAGCAGCACCCCTGTCTAATCCACAGTCTCCAGATTCATCTTCTGTCTTCCTGGGTAGAAATATGGGACAGAGCTGTCTTTCTTACAGAAATATTATATTATCTATGTTCAAAAAGAACAACCAGTGTTGTCTCAGAGCCTCAGAGCCTCTGGCTTCCTGCCAGAAGCTGTACTCTGCCTCAGCAGAGTGGCATATAGGACACCAGTCTGGAGGTCGTCACTAGATTATGTGTTCCATGGCCTTGCAGCAGACTCTGGGACCCACAACAGGTGCTGGCTCAGGCACAAAGTGTGTGTACAGAAAGGACTATAGAGATTCTCAGATGACAGAAAGTTATCTTTGGGTCAGTGCTACACTGTACTTAACTATCAGCATTTGCATGATACTCTAGCCAGGGTTATTGACTCTCTGACTATCCATGGAATTTTTAAAAATGTTTTCTAAGGAAAGTAGAAAAAGAAACAGCTTTGTACAGCTATGTTTCATTGCAGTACACTGACAGCTCTGAACCCAGGAGACAATGTCATGAGTCTGGTGATATGCACATCACCACCTCAATAAGGCCAAAGTTTCTACAAATGCTGGATGTCAAATATGGAAATACTTTAACAACATAAAGAGTTGAAATAAAATACCCTGAATATGCACTTAATATACCAAATATAAACTAGGCATGGTGGCTCTTCTGTGGAGCCAAGTATTGAGACACTAAGGAAGGAGAATTATTTGAGACTACTCTGGGTTATAATGTGACCTCAAAGCCAGCCTGAACTTCATATCAACATGCTTCCTCAAAAAGATAAATACATCAAATCTAATGAACATAATAGTGTACTAGTGATGGCCTTGTGACATTAGCATGACTATCATATTTACACTGACCTGTAGTCTACTGGAAAACCTAAGTCATAGCCAACTTCACAATAAAATATCACATTATTTATCAAACGGAGTACACTGGTATTTGGTGGTGATGGAGCAGTGCTTGCTGCTGCTCTCCACAGAAAAATGAATATTGCTGCAATAACAGGAATCTGCATGAATCACTGCAATATGTCCTTAACTCTTCGGGGAAGAGACCCACTAAAGGAGGCACTGCACTAATGAGAATTACTAATTTTAGTCTTTTGAATACTTTAAAAATTGAATTCAGTAGTAGCTGAACTACTTACCTACATTTCCACAAAAAGATTAAATAATTCCTTTTCTCCTGTAGTCTCCTGAATGTTCTTTAGATCTTATGGTGAGTGGTTCTCTCTGCAATGAAATGATGTCCCTATTTGCATTTCTCTATTGTGCAAAAATGCTCAATAGTTCTTCAAGTATTTCTTGGCAATTTGTACATATTCTGAAAAATGTGCATTCCTTTCATGTTCCTATTGGTTTTACATGTCAGCTGTCAGGGAGTAATAGGCAAAATTTCTCTCATTCTGTAGTTTATTTCTTCATCCTTTTGGTTTGACTTTTTTGTGGCTTGTATGCTTATGCAGGAGGATCAAAATCTTACAAAGTCCTTTTTGCTTCTTTTGTAACCATATCTTATTTTCTACACAAAACAGCAGGAATAGTATTTTTAAAAAATGTTTTTTAATACCTTTATATTCAGAACATGGAAAGTCTGGCTCTTTCATGTTTCACTATGTTTTACTCCAATAGAGGCATATTTGAGACTGCTGCACAAATTACCAAAGAAGTACACTTCCTGAGTAAAAGAAAAATCACAATTTGCAGTAGTGATTATTTTACCCTATCGTACATTTATATTCTTGACCTCAACATACTTGTTTCCTTAAACTTCAAATGCAGGCATAAAAACAACTGTTTCACACTCTGCTAACCCATGTAGCAATTGCCTCCCAAAGTCAGCTTCAAAGCCATCATCATCACATCTCATTCTCTACTGATGCTTGAACATAAGAAATCATCTTTAGCCTAATCTTTATAGGTAACTCCTTACCAATGCAATTAAATACAAAATGATCAAAAATTGCATAATTTTTGTTAGTTTTTACAAAATAACAAGGAATATAAAAGTGACAATTCTACTGTGTTCAATACAAGAATGAATGGGTTAAACTGACAACTGTCCAAATGATGCTCAGGATGGTCACTGCCAAAACAAAGGTGTTTCACAAGTGATTCTCTGGAATAACTGCTACATGGCCAACTGATAAAAAGACAACTACTGATGTGCAATTGTGAGTATTAAAAAATGTTGATTCTGGGAAAGAAACGGAGGAGATCTAAAGCATTAAGCAACATCTGTAGAACTTGAAGATATATTTTGAGACAAGGTCACTCTAATTGTGTAGGTTAGACTCAACTTCCTCTTCCACTAATTTAAGCCTGCTGAGGTGCTAGCATTACAAGCATGCATCAACAGGACCAGCAAGATTTACTTTCATGGTAAAATGAGAAAGTGCATGTACTCAGGATAAATTCTTATAGATTCAGTGTTCTATTATTAGCTTTAATACAAACTCCAAATATTCCCATTGATGGTATGCAGAAATATGCTGCAGGGGATCTGGCCACATGCTGTAGTGCATAGAGGCTGACAATGTACTTCACAGTGTCTTTTACTTTGAGAAGTATATCAGGTTCTTCAGGTACAAAATAGATATAGTTTTAGTGGTGATTACATAAGAGGTGAGTAATTTATTTTAACTTGAGCAAGCTATTTTCACTAGATTAGGGATATTTACTGCAATGTTCACTTGTGTTTTCATGACACCACATTTTTTAACAACATAATTCCTAAGCAGATTTTGTATTCAACAACACTGCATTAAACACGTTACAAATTACATGAATGTTAAAATGGAAGTGAAAACCACAGGCCACAGGAAACCAACTGGGACTCATGGCCCAGTGTATGTGTTTAAAGATAATCACTACACACCACAAACGTGGTACACTGGTCCTTATACATAAAGTGATATGCCATTATATAAATTCACAATTCAGTAAAACAGAACACAATCTGAATCTTAATTTAGCAAATTTACTTTTTACTGTGTTGACAGCTCAAAATTTAGGTTTCCCTTCATGCCATTACTTCAGTATTTTAGGAAAAAAACAGAAATAATTACAAAATATATAATGCTTTCACAGCATCAAGGAATAAAATAAAGGCATTTGCATGATACATCTAATAACAACATTTCCCCCCAAACAACTCCATATTTAAGAAAAATTGATTTCAAAGTATGGTTACTCATAAATCATGCCAAATTTTATAATTTCTTGAGATATTGATATATATATTGTGATGTGCTATTGGAGACAAGTTATGATTCTGTCAGTATGGCACAATCAGAAATTCACAGTAGTATGGTTTACATTTGGTACATGTGGGGAAAACTTACTAGCAAATAAAGATGTAATATAAACATAACAATTAAAATTCTGATGGTTAGAAAAACAAAGGTTTACTTAAATGACAAATATTGGCTCCACTGAGAAACAAAATCAGGCAACAAAATTTACATGGTATGATATCCAGTGATGTTAGGAAATCAGCAGATGTCTTGTCACAACTTGGAAAACATAACATTCATTAATGTACAAGTTATATGAAAAGAACACAACTTTTTCAAAAACACATACTCCAAGCATCTACAAATGTATATCTTAATGCCAAATATTGGCTCAACTTCAGAAACATCATTTATGAAAGAGAAAATGAAGCATGTGCATCAAAAGCTTAAAACAAAGCCATGTTAAAATTACAATTCCCCCAAAAAATAAGACTAGACTAATATCACTCTGAACAGTGAATAATAGTATTGCTCAATTTTATATCATAATGCTACAGAATTAGCATTGGGTTTCTTAGTGTCACTTCTTCTTCAGTGTATCTGTTCATTACATTATGCATTATATTATTGGTTCCAATAAATAGGTTAGAAATTCTTCCCATGTGTGAATCTCTATGTGTATATCTATCCTTTCTGTGTTATGGGGGGAAACAGATCAAAATAAGACAACAAAACAATTTCCTAGAAAATCATGATATGAAAGACATATAAGACCACAATATTAGGTGATATACAGTACTTACTATGTTTTCTCTTGTTATTTTCAATAGAATTGTCCACATCATCAGTGACTATATAATTAAGCATAACATTATATAGCTATTTTTATAAAAATACAACTTTGAAGACGTTGTAGGATGTGAAAGCAGTTAATAATCAAACATGATGTAGAACCCATGGTTTCTGCCAGGACCAGCGAGTCAGGCCAAGGCACACAATCCCATCCCAGTCTGGAGGAACTCCCTTCCTCACCTGGGGATCAGGTGGTTGCCCACTGGGAACAGTGAGTTGGGACCAGCAAGTCAGAACCAGGGAGTCGGGCCAAGGCACAGAATCCTTTTTCACTCTGGGGAAAATATCTTCCTCACCCGGGGATGAGGCCGCAGATTCCTGCCGGGACCAGCGAGTGGGGCTGAGGAACAGATTCCAATTCCAGTCTGGGGAAACTCCCTACCTTGCCAGCAAGTTCCGCCGAGACATGGAATCCCATCCCAATCTGCGTGAACTGCTCCCTCACTTGGATCAACACTTGAAGCTTAAAAATACAGCAAAATGACAAAATGAAAGACCAAAATGCAATTTCAAACATCCATCCCATCTCAAAAAAGTCTAGGAGCCATGTGCATAGAAGAAAACACATTCCACATAACTGAAATACCTGAAATAATAGTAACTGAAATAAAGAAGCAACTTTGGGAAGCATTAAAGAAATTCAAACTAGAAATAATCTCGTAGGTAAACAAGAAATGTTAAAAGAAATGAAGGAGATTCTGAACATATCTAAAGAAGACACAGTTAAAAAATTGGAGGAACTAAACAAAAAGATAGAATCCCTGGATGAACTCTATAAGAAACAAACAGAATACATAAAGCAGATGCAAAGTGATATACAGGAAATCAAAAGCTCCACTGAAAGGTGTAAAAACTGTCTCAATGAATATGAAGATAGAATCTCAGACCTTGAAAACAAGATTGCAGCCAGTGAACAGGAAAAGAAAGATCTTTTAAAAATAACAAAAATCAGGAAATAACTATTGAACACCTGCAAGATGATGCAAAGCAGAACAACATAAGGTTGATAGGGGTAAATGAAAAAGAAGGGGACAACATAAAGGATGTCAAGAGGATATTTAGAGAAGTAATAGATAAAAATTTCCCAAATACGGATTGGAAACTGATATCAAGATCAATGAAGCGTATGGAAATCCAAATAGCCATAACCAAAATAAATCTACATCCAGACATATAATAATGACCATCCCAGAAATTGAGCAAATTAATAGAATATTAAAAGCTGTCAGAGAGAAGAGACAGATCACCTATAAAGGAAAACATATCAGAATCACAGCAGACTTCTCAGCAAAAACAATGAAGTCAAGAAGAGCATGCAGTAAAGTATTTCAGATCCTAAAGGAAAATGATTTCCAACCTAGACTGATGTACCCTGAAAAACTGTCCTTCAAAATCGATGGAGAAATAAGATACTTATATGACAAAGAAAAGCTGAAAAACTTCATGATCACCAAGCCAACTCTGCAAAGAATACTGAAAGACAGCCTAGATACATTTAGGGAAAAAGCACTAAACAAAACAGACAGTGAAAAAGAGAAGAAAGATAAAGATGCAACAGCAGAAAGATAACATGTCAACAATAAACCAATATATAACAGTTCTAACCATTAATGTAAATGGTCTCAATGGACCAATTAGAAGAAACAGACTGGCAGAATGGATTAAGAAACAAAATCCAAACATATGCTGTCTACAAGAAACCCATCTAAACCCAAAAGGATATTCACAGACTGAAAGTCAAAGGATGGAAAACAATACTTCATGCAACAGGAACCAAAAATAAAGGGGGGGGGGGTAGCTATTCTGTTTGCAGACAATGTGAAATTCAAGCCAATAATGATCAGAATGGATAAAGAAGGTCACTACATACTGGTTAGGGTAAAAATCCAAGAGGAAGAGAAAACTATCTTAAATTTATATGCACCAAACTCCAGAGCACCCAGTTATACAAAACAAGTACTAACAAAAATGAAAAATCAAATTAGCATTAACACAATTCTAACAGGAGATCTTAACACACCATTGACACCAATGGACAGATCAACCAGACAGAAAATGACAAAGAAATAAAAGAACTGCATCGCACCTGTGAACAAAGGGACTTAACAAATATACAGAGTATTCCTTCCAACAACAACAGCATACACATTCTTTTCAGTATTACATGGGTCACTCTCTAAAATACACAATATATTAGTTCACAGAGCGTATTTAAATAAATGCAAAATGGTTGAAATTATCCTTTTCATGCTACCAGACCATACCACTATGAAATTAGAAATTAATGATGAAAGATATTGCAAAAATCCCACAAACACATGGAAACTGAATAACACTCTTGAGTAATCAGTGAGTCACAGAGGAAATTAAAGAAGAAATTAAACAATACCTACAAACAAATGGAAATGCAAATACAACGTACCAGAATCTGTGTGATGCAATGACAGCTGTACTCTGAGGAAAATTTATGGCACGAGTTTCCACATTAGGAAAACAGAACGAATACAAATAAATAACCTGATGTTATACGTCAAACATCTAGAAAAAGAAGAGCAAGTCAAGCCCAAAGCCAAAAGAAAAGAAGAAACTATAAAAATCAGAGCAGAAATCAATGCAATAGAGACTAAAAAAAAGAATCCAAAAAAAATCAGTGAATCAAAGACCTGGTTCTTTGAAAGAATAAATAAAATCAAAAAGCCCCTAGCCAACCTTATTTAAAAAATGGAAGAAAATGTTCAAATCCATGCAATAAGGAATAAAAGAAGTGAAATTACTACAGACCCTATTGAAATACAGAAGATCATCAACACCTGTTTCGAAAACCTCTACTCTCAAAGGTTTTATAACACAGAGGAAATAGACAGATTCCTAAAGCATATGAAGTACCAAAGCTAGGTCATGAAGATGTAAAACTACTGAATAACCCAAATTCTATTAATGAAATTGAAAACATAATAAAATTGTTACCTACAAAGAAGAGCCCAGGCACAGATGGATTCACTGAAGAATTCTGCAAGAAATATAAAGAAGACCTAATGCCAACACTCCACAAACTCTTCAATGAAATGTAAAGGGAAACAATCCTTCATAAATTGTTCCTAGAAGCAAATACTACTCTAGTACAAAAACCAAAGGAGGACCCAAATGAAAAAGAGAACTACAGACCAATCTCCCTAATGAACAAGGATGCAAAAATCCTCAATAAAATATTGGCAAATAGGATGCAGCAAATCAACAAGAAGATCATATATCATGACCAAAGGGGATTCATCCCAGGCATGCAGAGATTGTTTAATATATGTAAATCAATAAATGTGATACACCATACCAATAGAGCCAAAAGTTATAATCACATGATCATTACTATGGATGCAGAAAAAGCTTTTGACAAGGTCCAACGTTCATTTATGATAAGAACTTTGCAGAAAATTGGAATAGATGGTCCTTACCTCAATATAATTAAGGCCGGCAATGACAAAACAACAGCCAGTATCATACTAAATGGTCAAAAATTGAAGGCCTTTACTTTAAAATCAGGCACAAGACAAGGATGCCCCTTATCACAACTCCTATTTAATATAGTACTAGAAATACTGGGCAGAGCAATAAGACAAGAGAGAGAAATAAAAGGTTTAAAGATATGAAAAGAAGTTAAATTATCATTATTTGCAGATGACATGATACTTTATATAGAAGATCCCTGAAGCTCCATTGAAAGACTTCTAGATATAATAAATTCAGTAATGTAGCTGGATACAGAATCAATACTCAAAAATCAATAGCATTCCTATACACTAACAACAAAGTCACAGAGACAGAAATAAGAGATGCCACACCCTTCACACTAGCAACCAAAAAAATGAAATATTTAGGAATTACTCTCATGAAAGAAGTGAAAGACCTATACAGAGAAAATTACAACACACTGAAAAATGAAATTGATGATGATCTCAGAAAATGGAAAGACATCCCTTGCTCATGGATAGGAAGAATAAATACTGTGAAAATGGCCATTCTCCCAAAACTTTTATACAGATGCAATGCAATCCCGATAAAAATACCATCAACATACCTCATAGAACTTGAGAAATCACCCCTAAAATTCATCTGGAATGAGAAGAAACCTAGAATAGCAAGGACAGTTAGAAGCAGCAAAAGCAAGGCAGGAGGTACCACAATCCATGACTTGAAGTTATACTACAAAGCAACTGTAGTATAATCAACATGGTACTGGAACCAAAACAGAGCCGAAGATCAGTGGAATAGATGAGAAGATATAACCACTGTGGGAAGCCGCCTATGATGGCGCCCATTTCCTGCTTCCGGGTTCTTCCCGGCCTGAACAAGCCCGCCAAATTGTCATATCTGCCCAGTTACCCGTGACGCTAGCCTATCAGCTTGTTAGGCGCGCTTCTCTGTGATTGGATACTGCTTCCCCTTATAAGAGGTTGTTCCTGCCCCCAACGGGCGGAAGAGGAACCAACGGTGAGGGTGGCGGACCTTGTTAGATCCGGTTCGCTGTACGCAATAAACTTTGAGAGCTGATCCTGCTCGAGTCTGGCCTCCTGTCTCCCGCGGCTCCGGTCATCTGGTGGCCCGTACGGGGAAAAAGGTAAAAGACTCAGCGACGTGCCTCTTCGGCCGGGAGGTGCGATTGCTGTCGCCTGCGGTACGACGGAGGACCTGGCCCAATAACAACGGAAGGCACTGAGCGTCTCTTCTCTTCACCCTGATCAGCTACGTGAGATACAGTGGTTCCCAGGACACGTGAGTACTGGATCACCTGGGTTGGGTGGACGCACCTAACAGATTTTGAGCGCCACACGAGTGGACGCCGGTTTTTTTTTTTTTCTTTTCCCTTTGCATCTGTTTTGCTTTCGCTTCGCTAATACAGCCCGACAGGCTTTTGATAGAGCTCGATCAGAATGCTCAGAGGAGCCCGGAGCCACTGCCGATTGTAGGTCTCCGGAGGACCCTCAGGGCTCTAATTCTGATTCGGGTTCGGAAGGCTCAGAAGAGGAGGTCGTCTTTGCTAAGCATGACCCTCCTACACCGTTAAAAGAGGAACTTAGGGCTTTGGAAGATAAAAAGGGGAACCAAACACCACCCTGCCCGAGCTACTCCGCTTTGCGGGAGGAACTTAGGTCCTTCCGCTCCTTGGCAAGCTCGCGACCCATGGTCCCCCCCTTTAGGACGCCAGGCCCCACTGCACCGCCGTGGCCGGAAGAGGAGTTGTTCCCTGGGCTGCCACCTCCACCCGTGGCCGCCAGAGGGCGCCCACAACCTATGGCACCGCCCTGGTTAGAGGGAGAGCTACTTCCTGGGTTGCCTTCTGCGCCCCCATCTGGGGAGGCAGGAGGACGTTCCTTCCACCAGAGGGTATGGTCGCGGCTTCCCTTTGAGTGTTCCGGTCTCCATGCATTCCCGGTACAAGTAGGAGGCAGGGCAGGAGGAGGATATTAT